ATTCTGTCAGTGGTTTTTGCACAAAAACATTGAAAATCCGGATGATTAAAAAACATTCTAGCGACAGACAAATATGTACTTTTTCGCGAGACGGGATATTAAATTCCCATAATACTCACACGTGAGCCCAAGAAAATCCTCATACCATTCGTGAAGGTCATTTCCAGCAACGTTTTAAAATAAAGAAGAAATAACTATAACATATAACTATTTAAAGTGAAAAAGTCTTTAAATACGGTTCAGTAGGCCTCTAACGGAAGAAAACCTTGAAAATGTCACAAAACTCATAAGCATCATTTGATACTTTAATCCAGATTGGGGAATCGGATCAGGAACGCCAGATTCGAATATGAGAATCGTTGAACAAAACGTTGGCAATATTGCAAATTTATAGATTCTTTCAAAAGATTTTGAAATGTGACAGTTTCTATATGCTCAAGAGGGTTAGGTATCGAAATGGAAAGGAATCAGAAGAAATGAGAACCGAATTTTACTGCTAATGAAAAGATGCATTTATTTAATGTAAAAGTGCATGGCTATGCGAAAATATTAGAGGACAAGAAGGCCGACAGAGCCTCTAGAGCAATGCTTGGAACCAAATTGAAAAAGACTTTAACTCCTCCCTCTACTGCATACAGATGTGCCCAGTCATTGATAATGTTCTATGAATATAAGAAAAAAGAATTAAGAAGGAAAATAGGTGAGGAGAAAAACCAAAGAGTTTCAACTGGAGGTGGAGCAATGCCTGCTATGAAGTGGGGGCCTGAAGTCGCTCTCCAAATCACTTTCCCCAGACTCCACAGAGGTCTACAAGAAGACCGAAGCAAGTTGTGACTGCTTTAATATCTTTTGATATTGCCTCTAAATACAATCTACTCTTAGACAAAATACTGACTATTGGAAAAACAAAAGCTACAGATTAAGAGCAAGAATTTATAAAAATGGAAAGAAAATTTAAAATAGATTTGCTTCAGTTAAAAATTTCCAATCAAAAAATAAATTTAAGTTACCTTATAATGATGATTATTACTTTGTGTTAAGATACTGTATGTTACTTTTTTTTAGTGTAATAAAGATACTGTAGGAAAGTTTTAAAAAGTATGTAGTTTTCCCACAAATTGTGTTTTTATTATCCAGATGTTTTATAAATAACTAAAATAGTTATCTATCAGATTTTGGCGAAAATTAAATGGGTCTTGACCAACATTCGCTGCATGTGCATGAGGAATATCTCCTTGTAAAATTAGGTAATCCAGCTCTTGACCGTTGAGTTCTTTTGGATAGGGAGGCAAATCCTCTAGCACATTCGCGGCCATGTTTTGCTAGCACAGCAGTGGCAACAATTGTAGTTAAAGCGTTATCTAATCGACATCGACTACCATAGGCTAATACTGGGAACCGACATTCCCAAACACCAATTAATGTTTCTACTACATTGCACATAAGCTTCATTTTAATGATTTTCGACAATATTGCCTGGATTTTGTAGATGTGTCATTAGGTAGACTTTCAGCTGGTAACCACTCTCCCAAGAGCGCCGCGTTCTGAAATTGTCTCTCTTCAATGCGTGTTCTTAGGTGAGATGCATTGAAAATAGTTGAATCATGGGTAGATCCTGGCCATCGAGTAATAATATCAAATATTTTCAAATCTGGCCCAGCAACTATTTCAGAATTTATAGAAAAATATAACTTGCTGTTACGAAAAGCTTCTCCATCTTGAGCTCCTGGTGATTGCATCTTTATGTGCGTCCCGTCAATGTATCCAATGACTCGTGAAAATCTACAGATCCTATAGAAGTCATTCTGAACTCTTATTATTTCATCAGCTTCATTGGGCATTCTGATATATTGATTTGATAAACCTGCTATTGCTCTTGAAACTTTTGCAATTATACGGGATGCTGTTGTCTGATGCATGCTAATAAAGTCTCCAATACAATTTTAATGTGCATTGCAGGCATAAAATCGTAGGCATGTGGGGAGTCGATTAATGGGCGACACACTATTATTCCTGGAAAAACAAAAATCTTATAGTGACTGAAATCTTGGAAATACCTAATGTGATTCAGATCCACAGCCAGAGAAAAGGTTTTTAAAGACGTTCTTGTCTAAAGTTCAATTCTGGCCAAGGAAATTGATTATCGTATTTAATATTTGGTATAAAATACTTACAAATGGTTATGAAACTCGAGTTGATGCTTTATTTAATCTATCAATCTGAGGACAGTGTTTTTTTGGAGCCGAATTCTCCTGAAAGACGATAGGTCGTCCATCTCGTTAAAAAAATATGTACGTTCATAATAGTGTCTTGGAAATCCGAAGCGAATAATATCTAGAATGTCACCATGGACGAAAAGGGAAATCTCATCTTCGATCTGCATTACTTTTGCAAAAAAACACTTTTTCGCAGACATCAACAAACTCGAAATAAGGCTAGAACCCCAATCCGTCAATTTTCGTATTGAACTGTTAATACGCTAGGATTACGCCTAAACGCGATGTATCGGTGCATATGAAAACGTGGCAATAATCTGGATTAGCCATTAATCGTACTTCTCAAGGGACAGTGAATATAGGCATAGATCGCAAAACTATTTTGGGGCTTCTTTGCGTATATCTTTCTAATACTGATCGAGCATGTTACGCCCCTGTGCGTTATGGTAGTTTTCCAGAATTCCAAGATGGAGTTTTAAAGTGCATATGGCGTGCTTCTAAATAAGGCTCGTTAGGAGAGGAGAGGTAATGTGCTTTGGAGTGTGAGGTGTGTATATGTACGAACGAACATTCGTTATTATACTGCACAAATACCGACAGAAAAATACGGAACGGCTGGATTGATATGTCTTTAACAAGCATATTATTATGTTTATTTTTGAAATCGCGAGCTAATAAAAAGCTATTTTACAATCATGCAAACTTACGAGGTGTTGCTGTGGTTTGCCTTGAACTTTTGCAGCGCTAGGGATGCTAACACACCGTTTCGTATCATACCTTAGGCAGTGGTAAAACAGGTCGACATTAAGATATCCTACACTTATTGGGGTCGCTCATACCAATATCGTGGTCGATTCACCTCTTAAACGTCTAGTTTATGGTAATATCAAGGCCAGACATAGGAAAAACTCTAAAAACGTTTGGAAAATGTATATTGTCGCGCAATTCAAATACTTGGTTTATTCTGTCCGGCAAGGTTATCCACTTGAACCTTTAAATAGCCTTAATTTGACTTTGAAGTAATCTCAGGATGACTTTTCTTCTCAAAATGAGAGTCACGTTTGGATTCAGCCACCCTTTTTTACACCGGTTGACCTTGGAATAAGCTTAACTTAATCTTAGAATATTTTCAGGATAACCTCTTCTATTGAAAAATATACCATATGCAGATTCAGCGACCTCAAAAAGGTACGTGTGGATGTTTTCAAATGGATTTAGACACACTTACGAGACAACCTTTTTGTGATGTTGAATTGACCTCTAGATGACCTCGTCGAGTAAAACTCATGCCATATTTCAGAGGGGCCAAAAAACCTGTATGTGAAGAGCATCTTCGCACAGCTTGGTCTTGGAGTAACCTTAATTTGACATTGAAATAACTTTACTCTCTTCGTAAAACAAATACCAAATTCCAGCTAAACGACCTCGAAAATGTACGTGTGGAGATTTGCAAACAAATTCAATCAGTTTTACAAACGTTAGCCTTGAAACAACCTTAATTTGGTCTTGAAATGACCTCTAGATAAGGATGGCAACGATGTATCGAAAACACCGATAGATCGAACCTAGAGCATCGATGCTTTGGCATTGATGGTTCTATGTCGGTATATCGATGCATCGACATCGAACAGGTCAGAAATGTCGGTGTACCTCAACTGTGCAATGTTATCATAAAAGCTCGATGGGCTGCCTTAAATTCTGTATTTCTTTCAAAATAAACTGCATACTTAAAGTACTTTGAGTGATTCAATATTAATTATTTTCTGTTTGTTACATTTTTTTAAACTCTCAAATAATCTCCGTATATTTATTTATTTATACATAATTGCGCAACAGACTAATCCAATTACAGGGCAATATAATGGTATCTTTACTTATACTGTGCATACATAAAACAAACATAAAAGAACAGAATCAGCTCTTGTAATAGTCCCTGAAGTTCGACAAGATCTTACTGATACGAGGGATGTCTTTTAAGTTTTGCATATAGAAACATAGTAGGCCGCGCGGATCGAACGTCAGTACTGAATCTTAACATCACTCTTTAGTAAACTTAAGTTCAAACTTTCACAACAATGCGTGCAGTGTTCTCACTACAGTGAATTTTTAAGTGTCACCAAGTCATTAGAAAAATGGAACTCAACCGAGAACTTTTTCGCGACATAACTTATTACAACCTTCAGAGACAATTATCGCAACAAGAATGCCTTGCTGAGTTACTGCTTGTTTTCGGCAACGAAGCGCCATATCAGTCCACAATTTCCCGTTGGTATGGAGAATTCAAACGTGGACGGGTGAGTCTCAGCGTCGATCCCAGGGTGGGTGCACCAAAAAACGGCAGTCACCCAGGAAAACGTCGATGCTGTGCGCAAACTCATCATTGAAGATAGACATGTGACATATCGCGAGATTGAGGCGTCCTTGAAGATCTCAAAGACCTCAATCTAAAAATTCTACATGAAGAATTAGGAGTAAGAAAATTAGTTTCTCGTTGGATACCCCACCTGTTGACTGAAGAGCAGAAAGCAGCCAGGGTTAATTGGTGTCAAAAAACGCTTGACCGTTTCAATTCCGGAAACTCAAAAAATGTGTGCAGCATTGTTAGTGGTGATGAAACGTAGATTTACTGTTATGAACTAGAAAATAAAGGACAGTCGGCTGTTTGGGTGTTCCAAGGTGAAGAAAAGCGAACAAAAGTCATCCGTTCTCGAAGTGTTTCGAAAAAGATGGTCGCGACATTTGTGTCAAAAGCGGCTCATATTGCAAAAATTCCTCTTAATGAGCAAATTACTGTTACTGTGGATTGGTATATCAATATTTGTTTGCCAAAAGTCATCACCGAGCTTCGAAAAGTCAGCCCCGAAAGAAGAATCATCCTCCACCAAGACAATGCACACAGCCCATAAAACAAAGCAGTATTTAACGGAAGAAAACGTGGAATTATTGGACCATCCTCCATATAGTCCCGATCTAAGTCCTATCGATTTCTTTACTTCCCCGAAAATTAAAAACAGACTGCGTGGTCAGAGGTTCCAGTCACCAGAAGAAGGAGTTGACGCATTCAACAATGCCGTTTTATAGCTGCCAGCAAACGAGTGGAATAAGTACTTCGAAAATTGGTTCGAGCGCATGCAGATGTGTATTAATCTTCGTGGAGAATACTTCGAAAAACAATAAAGTCATTTAAAACTACCTACCGTGTTGTTTCATTTCCATATGCAAAACTTAAAAGACATCCCTCGTACAATCAAAATTAATGTCAGAACTGTCTCCAATGGAATTATAGTTATTGCATATAATGGGTGATTTTTTTTGCTAGTATATTTTAGGCAACACTGTTTTTGATAGATGACGTGTGAATCGTGTCTTGTGTCATTGTCAAACTTGTCCAGTTTGGTCTTACGAACGAACAACACTTGCAAATTATTGAATTTTACTATCAAAATTCATGCTCGGTTAAGAGAGTGCATCGAGCACTGCTTCCAATTTATGGGCAACCTGGTCGGCCTACTGAGGGAGCTATTCGGAAGCTTGTGACTAGATTTCTAACCCACTTTACATTATTGGACATTTAACCACCAACACGCAGACGTAGAGTGAGGACTGAAGAAAATATTGCGGCTGTATCCGCCAGTGTTAGTGATGACCGTGAAATGTCGATTCGCCGCCGTTCTCAGCAATTGGGCCTCTGTTACTCCACTACGTGGACAATTTTGCGACAGGATTTGGGTGTAAAACCTTATAAGATACAGCTGGTGCAAGAATTGAAGCCACACGACCTCCCACAACGTTTCCAATTTGGTGAATGGGCGCTGGCTAAGTTGGAGGAAGATCCACATTTTTATCGAAAACTTGTGTTCAGCGACGAAGCTCATTTCTGGTTGAATGGGTACGTTAACAAGCAAAATTGCCGCATCTGCAGTGAAGACCAGCCAGAAGCATTACAAGAGCTACCAATGCATCCCGAAAAAATCACTGTTTGGTGTGGATTGTGGGCCGGTGGCATCATCGGGCCGTACTCTTCAAAGACGACGATGGCCGGAAAGTAACTGTGAATCGCGAGCGCTACCGTGCGATGATGACAAACTTTTTTTTGGCCCAAAATGGAAGAGCTGGACTTGGCTGACATGTGGTTTCAACAAGACGGTGCCACATGCCACACCGCACACGAAACAATGGCCCTATTGCGAGGCGAGTTCGGTGAACAGTTTATGTCACGTTTGAGGCCCGTCAATTGGCCGCCTAGATCGTGTGATTTAACGCCGTTGGACTATTTCTTGTGGCCATGTTAAGACTAATGTCTACAGGGATAAACCAGCAACGATTGACGCACTGGAAGCCAATATTGAAGCATTTATTCGTCAGATACTGGACGAAATGTTGGAGAGAGTGTGCCAAAATTGGACTTTGGGCCATCTAAAGCGGAGCCGCGGCCAACATTTACATGAAATAATCTTTAAACATTAAATTATATCGACGGTTAGTATAAAATAATACGTTGGTACGGGAGGTACTACAGTAGAAAAACCGCGGTATACAAAAATTCAACCTGTGGAGAAGATCTGGTGCATCCACTCTGTCGTGCAGAAGTCATGACCATAAATGAAACATCATGCACAGGGTCGCATTTTAAGGAGGGCCTTCTGTGTAACATTTTTTCCAAGAGGACTTCATTAAAAAGTTACGGGGTGTTGAAGTTTAAGAATAAAAAGCATTTTTATAATATCCTCGAAACCGTCAACTGGTATGAAATAAAATTTGGTATGTGGATTAAGCTAAGTATTGTCCACATTCAAAAGTCTTCACTTAAAATTAACATGCACCAGTGGCGGAGATACAGGTGATTAGTGGCATTATTTTTCCAAATTAAAATAGTACGCCACGTTTTTTTTTAGAATCGCAAAATTTTTCGAATTCTATCATCAATTTTATAGAATACAAAGCAACTACAATCCAATTGGCGTCTCTGTTGATAATATTGATGCCACTGGGTACTACTAAACAGATTTCTGCCATGTCGGGAATGTGTACATTCTGCCAATTTTGAGGCTACTATTCCCATTTAGAGATTACAATTACAATCAAGACACACTGTCGGTTTTGATCACTGCGATGCCGATGCATCTATACATCGACACAAAACCATCAATGGCAAACTATCTGTATCTTTATCATACGTAAGATAGAGCAATAAACTGCCGCAACCTCAACATAAATAAGCCTCCTGTACGTCAGACGCGCTTCATGAACCATTTTTTAGGCAACCGCTCAGATAGCTCCCGTACCCTTCCAGATCGACGAAAGGGAGAATAAAACAATGCATCTTAGTCGACGGTTGGCAGTGTGTGGGGTAAGTTATTGTCCTCCAGCGAGCTATTTCCCTTTAACACCAGAGCAGGTGATGAAGGAGGCATCTAAAGAATGTATTGAGGTGAGACGTTTTTGTGGTGGGTAAGTAATTGGTATCATAGCAGTTACGGAGGACGTATTCCAAGGACGAAGAAAAATGTTGTCGTGATAATCCAATAAGGAATGCCGTCGAATAAAAAAGTGATTTTTCAGTTCTTACCGAACATGGAACTACTAGGCCGACAGAATAGTGAATTCGGTTAAACAGGGTGTCTAGAATATATGGACGAAAATATCTCGAAAAATGTACTTCCCGAATAAAAATATTGTCGAGCTTTGTATGATTTGGGAACGGAAATCTAAGGGTGACCTTGACTATGTCATTGAAGGTTTTTTAAACGAAAACCCTTATTTTTGACAATGAAAGTAAGAAGAGCCGAGAATCATATGATCAAGTATACCATAATCAGTCACCATAACCATAACCTTCTTGCTCATTTGAAGGTAAAATAAAAGAGTGGGCACGAACCTTACGGAAATCGGTCCCCGGTGAATCTTGCTCAAACTTTGGGAATAAGCTCTCAAGCCTATAACACAGTGTAGCTCCTGAATACAAACTTATCGAAGAGAACTATTAGTGGGTTATTATACATGGTATCCAAGGACACATTTATAAAACACCCACAAATATACAATTTTAGATCACTAACATTTTTTTTTTAATGGAAAGCCATACTTTTAGTAGAAGAAGATTGATATGACCTACTTATGGATTTTGATTATTAGTTATTGAGCTATTGGGTATTCTATCTAAACAAAACAGTTTTACACCTGTATATCTGCTGTCTCCACAGTTTGGATTAGTGTAGCTATAGGTTAATATATTGATGAAAAGAAAACATAGGTAGTAACAAGTTCGCAGATTTCAAGACGACCATAACCTTCAACGTCATGTTACGGTCAAGTCACTTCTTTTCCATGAATCACTTTATTTTTTATCACGGAAATTAACGTTCCACATGGATTCACAATAGTCGAATGAGCCATAACCATTGCCAATAATATCTAAATATTGACCATGAGCTTCAAAGTCTCGTCAATGTCACGTCACTGCTTTTCAATGAGTCATTTTATTTTCGATCCTGGAAACGAAGCTAGTAGAACGTACGATAAACCATGAACTTTTGAGGGTTAAATGCAAATATTATGGTTTCTGTAACATCTCGTTGAAATTGATAAGTAGCTTCCTCATAAATAGGTCTCAAGGAATCGTTATTGATACCGACTCTTCGCCTGAAAGTGTGATTTCCTCGAGAGAACCACAAGGTTCAGTACTTGGACCGCTTCTATTTCTATTGTATATATTTATTTGAACAAAATCATAAAGTACTGCAATATTCTGCATTTTTTTACGGGCGATTCACAACTATATTTTAGTTTTGACCACAGTAATATATGAATACTGCCGAATTTCAGAAGTCAGAGGATTTGAAATCTGTTGAAGCTTATGTCGCCGAACGTAACCTTCACTTAGATCCTTTTAAACACGTATCCACTAGAACTAGATGAACTAATTTATTATTTATACTATTCGTCGTTCTTCATGAGAGCATTCCGGTGGACCGTTGCTCTTAGTTCAAAGCCTTGTCGATCTGTTAGTCTGTCAGGTCTGGCTATCGAGACATGTTCAAGGGGAAAATGGTAAGAAGGAAAGAACGGAAGAGAGAAATAGAGCGAAGAAAAAAAGTAACTCATTTGAAGTAGAATACGCTCAAGCATTATGACTACTCCAATATTTTTGTCCAAGTCCAAAAATAAATTTGGTTGGTTTGAAATTCTCGACCTTACTCGACTGGTATACTTGTATGTGAATGTCATTTGACACGTATCACGGTACGGGTATCACGTATCTTAAAAAGCGACACTATGCCGATTTTTTTTTGACATTATGCTGGTTTTTTTGACATTATGTACGTTTGTCGCCAAGACGTTGACTTAGCACTTAGTTGTACGTGTTGCCTAGACGTCATGAGCCTTGTTATCAGTCTTTGGCTCCGATGTGATGTAAAATCTGCTTCTGAGATGGCACTACTGGAGGTCTCAGCTGTAACTTGCATGTGTTGATGATAATTACATTGGGTTCTTGTCTCAAATACACTTAATTGAGATTCAAAGCTAGAAATTAGTTGCGCATCCACTTTTTCTTATCCATTCTAGAAATTACATGTTATATAAATATGTTAAATTTCAAAAAAGAGAGAGATAAGAAATAATTATATTCACTGTACACTGTCGAATTACAAGCCATATACCTGTACATGCTAACAATAATTACACACAACGCAGCCGCGGTGATGATTTCCCGTAATTCTCCTCAGTTTTTCATAATTTATAACTTTGAACATAACCTCTCTTCAGAAAGCACAACATATAAATAACCCGTCATATTCAGCATATTCGGTAATGATTTTCTCACACAGCAAATATCACTGATTTTATACACATGCAGATCAATACACATAATCATCCAGATGCGATCTTGTTATTCAACCAACTTTCTTCTCAGAGATAAAAGCTACAGACACGGATCACTAAGCCTCACCAAACTATGCAACCAACAATGCATGTATAGTATAGTTGAGTGATTCCTTCATAGATGGACGATCCTAGTGAGAAAACGTGAAATGACTGTTTGCGCCCTAAAAACTACATAGTCTGCAAGTTGACATCTT